CTAAACCCATACTCGAACCCAAATCCAAGCCCATACCCGAACGCATACAGAAAAGTTGTATGCAACATTTTGAAAATGAATGTGATTGCCTCGAGTCAAGAACACGAGGGACGACCACTAGCACAGTCACAGACAATGAAAACTTCTGACATGATGGTTACATTCGGTTAGAAATTTTTTTCTCACTCAACCTACTCTAAAACGTCCATATCAAATAATTATCACCTGAAATTAACCAGTCTAAACCGTCGGATTTCATATCAAATATTCACCATCTATTAACTAAAGCATGAAATTATATAACAACCTCTCTGCCATCACTCCCTCATTCCATTTCTTTGCTCTGTTTTTCTTCCATTTCCCTTCTCAAACCATGGAAACTTTGTATTTGATAACTACTGACGAGATCGATGACATTCTCAGTAGCATGTGCATGCAAATCACTGGAGACAAAGTGTTAAAAAAAAAAAGAAAAAAAAAAAAGTGTTAATGGCTAGTCTAGAACGTCTCGATGGAAAGGCCTTTGACCATATTCAAACGCATCAAATTTTTGAGGTAGTGATCTACATTGTTTTATTACCTGTCTATTACTTTATCGACGTTTTTGTTTTAGAGTTTAAATACTATTGTTAACTTTTTCCTATAAGCATATTATAATTATGTTAATCTCAAATGGGAATGCAATTTACATGTATCACTGAACATAACTGATCAATCATTTAACAATATAAACTAAAAATTGAAACAGGACATAGTGAAAGAATAAGCCCATGAAATATTGCTGCATGATAACATATGTCACCATTTGCTATATTAACCCATGGAAAGGCAAAAATCAAAGTGACAGTCATACAACCTCAGATAGGAAACCCTTAAGAGTTAAATTGGCCAGCGATGTATTTTCTCCAGCATTTCTGTAACGACTTTACATAAGAAATTATATTTGGTAATTATAATGGCATCACTCGCAACAAATTTTGTAAAGAAAATTTGCTAAAAGATAGAAAAACCTAGAAATTAAATTATTGGCTAGATAAAGGAACAAGTCTAAAAAACAGATTTCAACTTTCTGGTGTGGTTGAAAATAGATCTTCATGCTCAATGGGGCTCTGGGCTCTATCCTACGAAAGAAACAAGATTAAAGCATTCTGAGATTTAGTGCAATGTATTAGTCAACATCATAAAAGACAGCCCAACTATAAAGCACTCTTAATGGCGTAAAGCCAAAATTCAGATTGGCAGAGGGTAGAACATACATTATCCTTGTCATACGTTCCAAAGATACCACATAGAAATTCCACAACCTCACTTGCCAGCTCCACACTCTACAGGGCAGCATCAAAGAGTAATTACCTCAAATGATGTTATGAAAAGTTAATCAAAGATTTTTTTTTTTTTTTTTGCAGATAATAAAAGAGGAGGGTAGAAAGAGGAAATTTTTTATAAAACCACATAAATGTAGATCCAACAGCCACATGTAAATAAACAAGTAGGATTTTGAAAATTAAACGGAATGATGTTCATAAATTCTCTTAGTAGAGATACTTGGTTAGGAGCAAGCTTAGGTGGAAAAGGAAGACACTCATCCCTTAGTTCTAAATCATCGCCATAACCAAATTTTCTCAGGACAACCAAGTAGTCTCAAGGTGCCCGTTTCCAATGAAAAGATCATGCAGAGTGACGAACCCTTTAAAGGTAACACCACGGCCATTGACTCCATCTCATTGCTTCTCTTGTACAACTCTTTTCGCTGCTACTATTTCAGCAGATTTCAATGGAACATTAGAGCATTTAACCTGTTTAATATCAATTAAACATGTTAGACACTCAAAGAAGAGTGTAAATCAGCCATGGTAAGAAAGTATCAAAAGGGAAAAAAATAGAAGTACAAACAAACCCGAAAATAATTAAACTCTGCATCACTAAGGGCGTCATCCCTGTCTTGGTCACAAAGAAAAAATATCCTTTTCAATGCCCTGACAAATCATGGTTTCAGATGTTGTGAATCACGATCAAGCAATGGATCTACTAGATGAAGTATTGCCTTCTAAGCGTGATAGAAAACGTAGTGGACCTACCATCAAGGAAAATTTGATTAATCTTAACTCTTGAATAAAATCTCATTGAGTGATCTTCTTGCAGTTTTTTATCATTATGATTAACTTTCTCTTCTGTTGAAAGCAAGACCTTGAGCTTTGGTGACAAGTGGGAGTAGGAGGCAGAATCTATAAATAGAAACGATTTAAATTGGGGCAGGAGGGAAGGAAATATAGCAACCAACCAACTTGACCTTAAACCCTAAACGTTCATTTGTCGAAAAACCATAAAAACATATCTAGAACCCTACCATCTTTGACAATATGAATATGAAGAAAATAATGCAAGATTTTGGTGCATTCATGCTCTGGTATACTTGTACGAAACACAAAACAAGTTCACAAATCACTGGGAGGATCTTTACGAAAGTAAGTGCAAAAACAAATAGTTTGCTTACACTCCCCAACAACATTTAGGAATTCCGAGCATCTCTGGTTGCATTTCTCAATCTCACATTTCTTCATTTCAATTAGCTTGTGACATGTATGCTCTGGGNACTCTGATCCTCAAGTCAACATGGTTGTGACTAAAAACCAAAGCGAAAAGGTAAAGGATTTACCATATTTATGGAGCCAAGCGCAATTATCGTCATAGAGTGGTTGGAACTCGACTATAAGAAGACAATCAGTGTAGAGTAGTCAGAACTTAGCTCTATAGCAGGAAAAAGGCGGTGATTCTTGAAAGCAAGAACTTTGAGAGCTTAAGCAATTACTTGCATGTGAATGAATTGAGAGAGACTAGACCTCTGCTCTTATAGGAAGCCAAGGAAGCTTGAGTCTTTGTAGAACTTAGAGTTCTTTTAGTTTAGGAGTTTGAGTAAACAAAAAACTCGTAGTACTAATCCATGTAGGACTAGGAGTACTAGTTCATGTAAGATTGGGAGTCTTGGATGAACTAAGAGTTGTATGAGACTTGGAGTCCTATTGTGGAATGAAACTAAGCTAGTAGGCTGGAGCCTGAGGTAACTTAAGCTGTAGAAAGGCCTAACTTGTGGAGTGGCCCAAAATATAGGTTGACCTAATTCGTAAGGTGATCGTAGAGTAATCCAACTCATAGAGTAGCCCAATTCATGGAGTGGGTTGATCATGGTGTGGACTAGCTCGTAGAATTGCCTAGCCTATAGAACGATCCTTCTTATAGAATGTGTCATCTCGCTAGATAGTCTTTTCGTATAATGAGTTTTGATGTGGGCTCAACCAGAGTTGGGCTGTGGCACTGGGGTATGCTGGATGCAAGTGGCCCTTTTGTTGTTGGGCCTGATGGCGTCCAATATGAATTGTAGAGCCAACCAGGGTTGGGTCATGGTGTAGAGCCAACTGTATGTGGGCCATGGCATAGAGACAATTGCAATTGGGCTTGACTTGTGCCCAATATGATTTTTTATCCAAACACCTTGTATACACATTTTATATATACATATTATTTAAAATTGGTAACACATAAAATAAACTATAAACATATAAATAAAATAATTATATTTTATAGCCCAATATTCATTTCTAAGTTTGTTCATTTATGTTTATGTTTAGATGTGTGGTCATTGGCGGTTTAGTATGTGGGTATTTTTACTAGGGGCTTGAAAGATGATGTTCCGGTATTGTTACCAGGATTTTTTCTTTAACTTTTGTGTGTTAGTGGGCGTGTTTATTTTATTTTTTTGGATTTAGATGTATTGATATTGGTGTTTTAGTATGTGGGTAATGTTACTGGCAAGCTTTTTGTTTTATTAATCTTAAAAAAAAAATTATTGTTTGATTAATCTTTAAATGATCGAGATCAAAACCATTTTATTATATTAATAAACTAATTATACCATAATGTATATTCCTTCAATCACTTTTGTGCATATTTGAATTTCAACAACACCAACTAGGTACAAAAATAAATAAGTAATATTAAAATTTACAAGTTAATATTACGCTATAAGATAAATAATTTTTTATATGTAACTTCTCTTTTTTATTTAATATTTTTATAATTACTTTGTATATAATATATTATAAGAAGGGTTAAGCAAATATAACATAAATTATTGACATAGATTTATCACAAAAATTTCATTTACTACTACAATTTAATAAAGAGTAAACAACTTTTTCCCACCCAAGGTTTGCCTCAATGACACTTTCCCACTCAACGTTAATATTTTGTTATTACCCAAAGCCGATTCCAGCTGATTTCAATGGCAAAAATTCTCATCTCACCATCATTTAAACCTCAAGTTTCCTCTATATAAAACTCCTCTCACTCTGGCATTCGATTTCTTGCTGAATGTCGGCCACCGTAAAGTTAGGGTTTTTAATTCTTAACTGATTCCGACAGTGAATATTCAATCAGTCACCATCATTCAATCCATCGGCCTCCACTATATAAAACCCCTCTTACCATGATTCTTGGTAACTCACCGAACACTGGCTGAGAAAGTGAAATGTAATTTAGGTATTAGCAGAATACACACTTTGGGTGGGAAAGTAATATTTTGAAACTTTTTGGGTGAAAAATTGTCATTAGGGGAAACCTTGGGTGAGAAAAAGTCGTTTACTCTTTAATAAATTTGAAAGAGTGCTATACACATACACGTACACATAGACATAAGACATGCTTAATAGATTTTTTTTTTTTTTTTTTTTTTTTTTTTTTTTTTTTTAACCTGGAAAGAACACAAAAGACCTTGTATAGGCATTTTATATGTACATGTTATTTAAAATTGGTAAACACATAAAATCAACTATAAACATATAACACAATATCTCCAATAATACGCTTATGTTAAAATTTAAAAAATATTCTCTTATAAACTTCATATAACGCATGGGCCAACTAAAGCCCAAAAAGAAACAAAGGTCCAACACCACACCTTCAAAATCAAAACGAAACCCTAGAAATTTCATATATAAATAACACTGAGAACGTCTAGGGTTTTAGCCACCACCACCCACCTTTTCTTCTTCAAACCCACAGAGAGAGAAAGCTCTCAGAAGGTGAGTGAAAATGCCGGCCGGTCATGGTGTGAGAGCCAGAACAAGGGATCTCTTTGCCCGGGGATTCAGAAAGAAGGGTTACATCCCATTGTCGACCTACCTTAAAACTTACAAGATCGGCGATTACGTTGACGTCAAAGTTAATGGCGCCATCCACAAGGGCATGCCCCACAAGTTCTACCACGGCCGCACTGGCCGCGTTTGGAACGTCACGAAACGCGCCATCGGTGTCGAGGTTAACAAGCAGGTCAAATAATTAACCCAATACTCATTTCTAAGTTTGTTTATTTATGTTTTTATTGTTATTGTTTATGTTTAGATGTGTGGTTATTGGCGGTTTAGTATGTGGGTATTGATTGATATGTGGGTAATCTTACTGGGTGCTTGAAAGCTGATGTTCCGGTATTGTTACTGGGATTTTTTCTTTAACTTTTGTGCGTTTTACTGGGCGTTTTTATTTTGTTTGGATTTAGATGTATTGATATTGGTGTTTTAGTATGTGGGTATTGATTGCAGGGTAATGTTACTGGGAAGCTTTTTGTAGGGAACTAGAAAGATTATATTCCGGTACCGTTAATGGGGTTTTAATGGGTTTTTTTTCATGGTTGTGTGGGTTTTAGTGTGTGGGGATTGATTGATTGTGGGGTAATGGAATGTTGTTTGACTGGTAATATTATTGGGATTTGTTTTTGTAGTGTCCTAGAAATATGATATTCTAGCTATGTTACAGGGGGTTTTAATATATAAGTATATGTTTGCGGGTGTGATTTAACAGCACATAATGTAGGTGATTGAAAAAGATGTTATTCTGGTAATGTTACTTAGATTTTATCTCTGGTGAATTAGCAGTACTTTGAAGTTAATGGTAAAAGTGATTGTTGTTATTAGTTTGGAATTTCTGTGGATGTTGTGCGTAATGGTTTCTTTTGGGTTATCATTTTTGGTCCTTCAGGTTATATATTACTTTAAACTTGTGTTTGTTTGTTTATTGCTGATTGATGATTGTGTGAATATATTTTATGCTTTATTTGTATTTGTTATGCTTACATTTTTTTGTTATGCAGACAAAACGTTAAATTAAGTAGTGTGCACAAAGCAATCTTCCAACTTTTTATATTACTGTACTTGATAAAAAGCCATTGTATTTGCTGTATTGTGATCAGTTGGATAGTGTGATTTCTTTTTTTCTCTTGTGAGAATTATCGATATTTGTTTGATTAGTTTGGTTCCATGTTTGTCCTACACAGTAATTTGGCTTGTTATGTTTATTATCTACATGCTTGTACATATATATTTTAATTGGAAGTTTCATACTGAACTCTGCTCCATATGCTTGTATAAAGGTGGGTAACAGGATAATTAGGAAGAGGATTCATGTTCGTGTGGAGCATGTGCAGCCTTCCAGGTGTGCCGAGGAATTCAAGCTGAGAACGAAGAAGAATGATGAACTCAAGGCTGAAGCCAAGGCAAAAGGTGAGGTCATCAGTACTAAGAGGCAACCAGAGGGTCCTAAACCAGGTTTCATGGTGGAATGTGCAACATTGGAAACTGTCACACCCATTCCTTACGATGTTGTTAATGATCTTAAAGGAGGTTATTAGGTTTTTTTTTCTTGGTTTTGTTCTTGCTGTTCGGTTATTTGATGCAAAACTTTTGTGAACTTAATCTTATTTGGATGCATTTGCATCCATATTACTTTTGTTTTGAAGAGGTACTGCACTAGCAGAGATGTTTATTTAATCACATTTTACATTAGAAACAAGGTTGTTTTTTGAATGCAAAGTTAACATTTGAGAAAGTTTTGATTTCAATTAGTTAAATGATTTCAATTTTGTTAATGTTTCAACTTTCAACTCAACTAGTAACTTTCTTGTGATGTGAACGGCTGAGATTCTGAGATACCTTTTCCCTGGACATTTGAGAAAGTTTTGTATGAGTTAGAAGCTTATTTCCAGGTCTCTTGGATTGTTTTCTGCAATCAAGTATCAAAATTCAGTAGAGTAATACTACACTTACAAAGAAATTTTACAAAGATCTTCATACAAAGTGATGTGGTAAGAAATGAATGGAAAAGTGAATTTAATGAGTTTGACTTTTTGTTTCATTCTTCTATTCATTTTTTATCACATTATTTTGTATAGAAATCTTTGCAAGATTTTTTTTGTAAATATATTATTATTGTATTCAGTATGTGCCTCCTCCATTCTCATTTTAAGCATAAAGAACTGCGTAGAAATGGTTTCTTGGTAAAATCCCAGAAAAAGAACTTAAAACTCTTGTGTAACTGCGTAGAAATGGTTTCTTGGTGAAATCCCAGAAAAAGAACTTAAAACTCTTATGTCATATTTGTGGATTAAGCTTCTGCTTGTTGGTCTGGTTGATCATACCCAGTTGTGTGCTTAATTCGGCCTTCAACTTAGCCCTACAACATTATAGAGGTTCAAATTCAAATCATAACAAAAACTAGTGTAGCATTGGATCTGGATCCTATATTGAGGGTTAACGTGGCGGTTTGAAAACTTCCAAGGAACCAGTCCAGCAGTCGTTTACCTTTGGTGTTGACCTGCGGCTCATGATCCGGAGTTGAGAAGTATCCTCGGTGAATGTTATCGACCGAAGATAGCCCTCGAATGTTATGAAATATCTTGATTTAAAAAGATACTAAAATGCATATTCATAATCATGTATCAATAATAAAGACCAGGTTGCAATTAATTTATATAAAAGATACAAGTTTTAGACTCTTATACAAATATTAAAACCTAATGAAGAAAGAACCAGGCTATAAGAAAAATATTTTTTCTTTAAAAAAAAAAAAAAAAAAAAAAACACACTCTCAGGTCTTGTGTCTATGAACTCTCATGTTTCAATTTAACTTTTTTCGGATCAACACAATCTGTATTGTGTTGATCCAAGTTCAATTTTGTTTCTTGGAATGGTTTTCCGCCCAACATTTTATGGATTAATCTAAAACCAGTATAATTTGTTTTGTGCCGATTCAAGTTCAACTATGTTTCTTGGATTTTGATTCTTATTAGAGTATAATTTGTCCAAAAAAAAAAAATTTAATTCAGGTGTGCATGGTGTGTATGATACACGAGAAAGAACTACCATCCATTTAAAGTTCAAATTTAAGAAAAAGTTAAATATCTTTTGGGTAAAAAAGAAAATAAGATTAAAAAATCAATCATATTCATTAGATGATTGAACTGTCACATGTTTTTAGATCCTTCAAATATTAGGTAAATTTAAATTAGCCAATAATCCAAATGCAGAGAGAGGATCCCCATACCCCATTAAGAGTAGCAAATCTCATCAGCATAGTAAAACAATGGTTAGTGATAATATATTGAACACTTGGCTTGGCAATTGATACAAAGGAGAAGAAGATTGGAGGCTTCAAATTGGCACAATTAAAAGTAGAGTCAACGGTGGACCGTGTCATACTTAAAAATTTAAGGCATGTCATGCCATGGACCGTGCTGTGCCAAGGCCCGAAAAATTCATGCCATGTTGTGCAATGTCGACCTACCAAATTTGAAGGCCCATGGCACGACCTGCTATATATCTTGTGGTGCCTTAGGCCATGTCGTGGGTCGGCCTGCGTGCTTTGTAAAAATATTTAATTTTAATATTGATAAATGATGGTAATTTTTATTTATTATTAATAATTATTATAAAAATATCTTATATTTAGTGACATTTTGTATTTATATGAATTAAAGAAATATATAATCACTCTTAAATATAATTAAATAATGAGACATTGAAATATTAATTGAATTTCAATACTTTTTAATACTTATAAGTTATAATTATAAATTACAATGCAAATTTAGAAATTAGGATAAAGAATTATTATATATCTTCATTTTCATTAATTTCTAAATTCTTTCAATCTTCAAATATATCTTCAACAACACGATTTTGAAGCTTNAACAATTTTTCTTAAATAAAATCCAATAATAATTCTTGAAAACAGTCAATAATATTTTATGTTAAGACATAAAAGGACATAATTCAATATTTTATCATCATTATATTTTGCAAATGGACAATACTTCATTTATTAAAAAAATAATTATTAATATTGTGCAGTAATTGTTTTATTAATTTTTATGGTTATATTGTACCTTAATTGTTTTTGTTAAGTTTTGTGGACTTTGAACTAAACAAAGGCTTCACAAAAAAATCTAGCCAAAACAAATTTGAAAATGAAAACGATTGGCTTCTTCTTCTTTTACTCTTCTGCGTGAGAAATGCATCACAACATTAGAGGTAGAAAATGGAAGTAACTAAAATTTCTTAAATGATAAACTAATTTCACTACTGAAATAAAAAAAATTAAAAAAAAAAAAGCAAAAAACAAAACATGTTAATAGATTTACGAAAGATGCAGGCACAACCATGAGGATATTATATTTGCCTCTTGTATGCCATTAAATGGTTGTGATCGCTTACAAATTCAAACAAATCAAAAACATTAATCGCAACCCTAAAATTACAAGAAAAGAAACCTTAGACTTCTTACTGATGTAATATGAAAAGAAGATTATTACTGCTGGAATTATGTGTTCTGGAATCAAGTAATTGACATGATATCCAGGAGTGAGTTTAGGAAATCCTTTATTGAAAATATTCTGTAATTACACTATTTGATTACATTCCTTGTATTACTTTTACATTTTTGTATAAATTCACACAATACTGTAAACACAAATATACAAGAGATACATTTCTTCTTCTCTTTTCTGGCATTCTTCAACAACTACAGTTGCTCCTTTTGCCCCTCCTTGCTCATCCTCTGACATGGTATTAGAGCTCAGTTCAGTTGAGCTGAGCGTTTGACCAGCGAGCGAGGAGTTAGAGCCAACAACTACCTCCAATAACAGGCGTGACCCAACATATGGGCTTGACCGTGAGGGGGAGTGTTGGAGTCCCACATTGACTAGGTACGCTCAAGCCTATTGGGTTATAAGAGGAGATAATCCTCCCATTCAACAAGGCCTTATTGGGTGAGGAGTCAGACCGACCTCAAATTTTGACATGGTATCAGAGCATCCTGTTTAATCTTGCTTCCTCACAGCAACCCTCTCTAGCCAACAGTTCCAGCGTCAGTGAATCAAGGCCTTTGGACTGAGCATTTTATTTTCTCAACAAATCCTTCTTTGCCAGATTTCCAGAAGCTACAGACAATGCATTTGGGTTAGTATTTATCTTATACTGAAATCACAAAAATTCTTAGTATTATCATTTTTGTTTAACCAAACAACTTCCCTCATGGATCCAAACACCAACCCGCAAATCACAAATCCACCACCCTCAAACCAGTCAACTGAAAACCAAAACCAAAACCAAAACCAAAACCAAGATTCTGGATTGGGTCAAAATTCTGCTCAAACCCACAACCAATCCGGACCAAACCCATTTGGGTTCATGGGTCAAACATCCAACCCGACATTCCAAATCATCCAGAATCATCCCAATCGACCAGAACCCGGCGACCCTCTCTACTTCCCAGCATCCGACGGCGCTGAGTTGGTGCTTGTCAAGCAACCACTCACCGGATCAAAAAACTATGCCACTTGGGCCCGTGACTTCCGCCGATTGTTGATCACAAAGGATAAGGAAGGGTCCATCGATGGAACTCTTCCTCTGCTAGTTGAAACGTATCTCCTCAAGCACTGGAAACGCTGCAATACCCTCGTCTGAGCATGGATCAGCAACTCCCTGACCCAGGAGATTGCCGCTGGGCTACCATAAACAAAAAATGCCCAAGAAATATGGGCAAACATACATGACATGTACGGGCAGCTTGATTTGGCTAAGATATTCACCTTACGAAAATCTCTTGCCGAAATCAAACAACATAACTTATCGGTGACGTCCTATTTCAACCGCTTATCAGCAGTTTGGAATGAATTGGATGCTGTAGTCGAGCCTCTTGAAGTGCCTGCAATGGTGATTCAACAAGTCAAACGGGTAAAAGATCAGGATCAATTGATCCATTTTTTAATGGGTTTAAATGACAGTTTTTTACCTTTCAGAACACAGATGCTTGCCACCACGCCGGCACCGACACTTCGCCGCACTTTCCAGTTGGCTATACAAGATGAGAGCCAACGCATGAGCTCCCACGATGGCTCTCACAACAGCGACATTTTTGCTTTCAACGTGAAACAGAGACCATTTAGTGAAGGAGAGAAAAGTAATGGCGGCCATGGAGAACAAATGGGTCATGAAAGGCAGGTGAATGATAAGATTGTTTTATATGGGGCAAAAATCAATGGCTCAAATTCTTTCTCCAAATCCAATGGTCCAAATAATGTCAAGCCCAATTCCTTTACTAATTCACATTGACCGAGTTACTCCACCTCAAATGGGCCATCTTTATTTAATTCAAATGGGCCACCTCAAGCATGTGGGTCAAATGGGTTAGGAAACAATAAGTCCGGAAGAAATGCACATTATTGCGATTACTGCAAACGAAGAAATCACACTTGTGACACTTGTTGGAAGCTGCATGGACGCTCCTTTAATCAGAAATATGGGTCCACTGTCAACCAAACAGACACCAAAGGTAATCCTGTACCCACTTTCAGTCCTAAACAATATCAACAAATCATTCAGATGATCAATCAACTTCCCCAGGCTAATACGGCATCCTATGCAGGTACATCTTGTTGTTTCAATTTAAATAAAGATGATATTTGGATAATTGATTCAGGGGCGAGTGACCACATCATTTGTCACTCCAAGTACTTTACCTATACACCAACAAAATCAT